AAAAGTGTGGTGAGACCTGAGGACACTTGAGCCAAGGGCATGGCTACAGAGAGCTAGAGCTGAGTGAAGCATCCAGCTGATAGAAAGTGAGGGGAGACGCATAAGAACACCCAAACTTGCAGACAGTACCCATTTGACCTAGCCTTGATGACTTGATAATCAGAACTTGACTAGAGGAAGATTACAAAAAAATTTTTTTGTTTTTAAATGAAGGAACGAGGGTAAATTGCTACCATTTGATGAACTTGGCCTATACTCATGGAGGTAGTAGCTCAAAATACCAACTGAGAGGGATGGATTCTTCACATAAAGAATCAATCCTATCCCCTCTGTACACAGGGTAGATAGGGATGGGCAACTTAGACATTGTTGTTGTTAAGTGAGCTACCTAAAATAAGGGGGCAATAAAGGCACAAAGTGACTAGCTTACTAGCTTTCAAGAGGGAGTTTAGTTGAAGAGTGTGTGGGGGAAGACAGTGTCCCCACTGAATAGTTTTCATCTTGTCTAGATGGGTCTGGTAAAAAGAGATAGGGATAAGATTCTTATGATTCAATAGTGAGTAATTGTTATCATGACTAATTGTGACTGTCACAATTGTAAAGGAAGAAGTTTTGTAACAAAAACAGGGGAGTAGTTAATCTTACTGTTGAGAAACAGAGGACCCTAGAACCATCAAAGGAGAAGAGCACAAGCTGGAATGTGGGACCCTTATCCAGAGAAACAGCGACACCAGAGATGGAGGCAGAGATGGGGACATGGAGAGAAGGAGCTGCTGAGGACTCTAGATTCATGGCAAGAGAGGGACTGAGAGCTGGCAGCCAGGAAGCAGACTTGCAGAATGTGCCCTATGGTAGTTTAAATTATTATATATGCCTGAGTGCTTAGAACAAAACAAAAACTAAAATGAATAGAGAGAAATACTACTAACTGATGGTACATAGAGGGGATTATAATCTTGTATGATTTGTTGAATGTAAAACTAACGCTCTGCCCTGTAAACTTTCACTCAATTCACAATAAAAACTTTAAAAATAAATAAAACTCAATGACCGAGTTTAAAGTGAATAGGGGCAAACACTGTGAACTGATGGTACAAGGAGGGGATTGCACTTATTGTAATGACACCAAGTGTATGATTTGTTAAGTATGGGACTGATGATCTGTTCTGTAAGCCTTCACTTGATTCACAATAAAAAGTTTTAAAAAATAAACTCTCACATTCACTAGCACAGATCCATGAGTTGATGTGTTCAAGGATATGAGTTTGCAGGTGTAGGGAGATGTGGGTCCTTCAAAACCATGACGTTGGTCTGGGCTGCAAGGACGTTGCTGTGGGACACCAGGTAGACTTGGGCACGTAGTGGTTACAGGTTCAGAACGTCTGTTTGACTTCTATAGCTGCAAGCTAATTCCCTTCTCATCCATCCTCTTCTTCCCATTGGCAAAACCTTGACCCTCCTAGGAACCACCACGAACAATTCCTCTCATTTTCTACTTCTTGCCTGGGAGGGTTGCAGCCACTGGATATGAACCCTCCTCCCCCACCAGCTGTGCCCTGGGGTGTCCTTCTGGACCATCCTACTTTCTTCCAGTCTCAGAGGGATAAGCATCCTCTGATCTCTCCTTAAAGGGTCACCGGTCTCTGCTTTCTTGAGACAATTTATGACACTAGAAGAAAGCCCCTCGAAGACCCTGACCTGTGCTGGTGAAGGGGGCGCAGGCCTAGAAAGTCTGAGGAGAGGCATCTGCATTTGAAATGGCCTACACCTCCAGATGTGTTGAGGCAGAGAAGTCTAAGTGTTTTCTGGTAGACAGATGTGGGCCAGGCAGGAAAGAAGATGATCTAGAAGCCATCTAAAAGGAACTTTACCCAACAGGGCCACCAAGAGGAGTAACAGACCAATTGCAGGGCTGGGGGTGGGGGTGGGGTGTGTGTGTGTGGTTGTTGTTAAGTGCCCTGGAGTTGGTTTCGACTCAGAGTGACCCTAGGGGTGGAGGAAGTCCAGAAATCAGGAGACAAAGGAGGAGCTGAAAGCAAGGGTAGGAGTAACCCGCTAAAGTCAAGGGAATCAGAGGGAAGAGACTCCATGAAGAACCCACAGAAAGCTTTACTATAAAGCCATCCTGCTTAGTGAGTAGAAGACAGAGCACAGTCAGGACCAGACCTTTCTTGCCCCTATCTGTAGGCTTTTACAACCTCCTCCATCAACACCAATGGGTCAGAAGTCACAGCCTGCATGCATGCAACAGGGATAGATAGGGAAGCTCCTCAAATGTAGGAGCCTAAAGCACGCTTTAAGGAGCTCTGGTAGCATAGTGGTTACAAATTGGGCTGCTAATCTCAAGGTCAGCAGTTCGAAACTACCAGCTGTTCCACTGGAGAAAGAAAAGGCTTTCTGCTCCTATAAAGACTTACTGCCTCAGAAACCCTATAAGGAATTGCTATGAGTTGGAACTGACTCCATGGCACACCACCACCACCAAAGCACGCCTTTACCCCACATGCAAAAGCTGGATACGAAAGAAAATGGAAGAGTCAATGCATTCAAATTATGATGTTGGTGAAGAAAACAGAGCGTACCGTGGACTGTCATCTTAGAAGAAATAAAACCAGAATGTTCCTTAGAGGCAAGATGGGCAGACTTCAACTCACTTTACTCTGGACAACTTACTTCCTGTCAATAGGAAGGTCCAATTGCTAGACCAGGATAACGTGCTTGGTAGAGAGTCAACTAAAACATGGGACCCCGTTCATGACATGGCTTGACACACCAGCCACAACATACTAATGATCATGAAAATGACAGCGGCTCATTCTGTTGTACATAATAAAGCTGCCATGAGTCACAATCAACTGAGCAGAAACTACCAACAAAGCAAGCCTGAGATTCTGCTGAGTTTCAAGTGTAAATTTCCCCTTGAAGTAATTGTCTACTGATACTTCTACACTTGCAATTCAGCCATCTAAAACAAAGCTCTTTTTCTTTGTTCTCCAGCCAGCTCTCCTTGTATCCTACCCCTGACTTCCTTTTTTCTGTACATATGTCCCTCTCTCAGCTTGATTTTCCACATTCTCATTCATTCATCCACCCTAGTCCAAATGAGCCTGAACTTTGTATTCATTCTCCCTCACTGGCCCTACCTTCTCCATTTCTATGACTAACACCATAATTCAGACCTTTGCCATCTTAGACCTTCTCCCTACCCTTCCCTACCCTCTACCTTGTTTCCTTGAAATCCTTAGCTGTCTAATCTTCCGCAAACACAGTTCAAGTGCTATCAGAAAAAGCCACCGATAGCCTCTTGCTTTCCAAGAAATAAAATATAAACATCTTAGCTAACATTCAAAAGTCCTGCACTTTCTGGTTTTTCCAACCTACTTTTTCTAGCCTCATCTCTCCAAATTGGGAGGCCCATTCTCAACTAGTCAGTGGTGGACAATAAAGTCATGGAAATGAAAGACAGTACTGGCCCCTCGCTACTCTCAGTTCTAGTGGTAAGACAATGACCAGAACAGAGTCAGTGGCCACATGAAGGACATCGCTTGCCTCATGTCCTTACTCTTTATCAGAAATGCCCCCGTTATTCAAGTTTGTGCTTTTCTACTTTTAGGTTTTTCTTTGGGCTTTTTCTCCCTCTTGTCTCCGATGTAAACATTTCTCATTTTCCTAGTATCCCTCCTTTGAGAATTCTGATTCCCAGGCTTTGGAGTTGGATGCTCCTATCTCCTATTCTTCCTACATGTTGCATTTTAGAGAATTCACCCTCTGGGAAGTCCTCTCTCATACAACCTCCCTTTCCACCCCAACTCTGGCTTCGGCACCTCATAACTCTCTGATTGTTGCCTTTCTCATGTTGCATGTCTGTCACCCCCCACCACCACCAAACTGAGCTCCTGAAAGTGGGAAATGTGTGGACCTGTTCTCAGTGGGATGCCCAGCTCCAAGACTGGCACATGGTAGAGACTCAGTCTAAGTGGGAGGGAAGGAGGAAAGAGTGGGCCCATCATCAGATGCTCCCTTGTGTTGATCTGCCCTACAGAGCCAGCTGAGCTATTCACCGCTTCTTCCTCGCCACCGCCCCAGGCTGATTTAGTCAGTGACCCCTTACAGGATTGGTAGGTACATCCTTCCATCAAGACATCTGCCCCAGTTGACTTTGAACTGTTTCTGAGATATGGATGCCCAGAAAACAGTATGAAGAAAAGGAAGCTTCTAATTTAATCTATCAGCTTCCAAGACAAACTCCTTGCAAGCAGGCACCGTATCTTTCTTAACTTTGGGTAAAATTTTTGAACTAATTCATTGCATCTTGGCCATAGGTTCTTCCCTGGGCCGACCTGAAGACCTGAAGAGGCTTTCTGTGCGGGAAAGCTCCTGGAAGTTGTTCTTATTAAGTGCCAGGAGTGGGTTCCGACTCATAGCGACCCTATACAGGGTTTCCGAGGCTGTAAATCTTCACAGGAGCAGAAAGTCTCATCTTTCTCCCGCGGAACAGCTGGTAGTGCCTAGTGCTAAAACCGTGCTGAGAGTTTTTAGCATGGGTTAAGATTTGAAAACTCTTACGCAAGGGCCTGTGCTTTTGAGGGGCGAAAGTAGGGGCGGATGGATGCACCAGAGGAGACTGACTGATTGATTAGATGGGCCCCCCAGGCCATCCTAGAACGCGCAAGACCTCCCCCCACCGGACCCCTTTTACTCTCCAGAGCCCAGAATCCTCTCCTGCCTTCAGGGATAAGAGGGGTGGGTTTGGCTGACTTCTGCGCGGCCTTGTCAGAACCTCTATCTGGGGCCGCACCTGAAAAACGTCTCCTCTAGATTTCTTCAAGCCTACAGCCAATCCTCTTCCACCTGTCAGACACGGACTACCGCTCCTGTGGATCTCCCCACCGGTAGCTCAGAACGCAACGCACGCTAGGGCCCGACCCCACTCTGCGTTGCCACCACGCTGGCCGCTCGGAGGCTAGTTACCATGATATCGCGAGATCTGAGGGACAGGACGAGACCGGAAGCTAGGCAAATCTCGCGAGGCCAGGCGGAGCGGAGCCGGGCGCTCTTGTGCAGTGTGGAGGTCGTTTGAGTCACCTGCTCACCGCCAGCTCCTTCGCTCGCCGGCCCGTGCCCCGCCCGCCCAGCCATGCTCTCCGCCCTCGCCCGGCCTGCTGGCGCTACTCTCCGCCGCGGCTTCAGCACCTCGGTCCAGGTAGGCCCGACTTGGGGCGACCTGCGCACGGAGGGCCCTGGTCGCGGACGTGCCTGGCTCGCGATCAGCCCTGGTCCCGGGCCAGCCTAGACCGCAAGAGCGTCCGGCGCGGACCGGAGGCAGCAGCCCTAGCCCCGGGCAGGCAGTGCGGGGGAGAACGCCCGGGAGGCGGTGCGCTTCGCTGAGCTCAGCAGCTCGCCTCCCGGGCTCCGCTCTCCCCTACAGCCTTCCAGGTTGAGAAGCCAGGTCTTTAGGCCTGGAAGTCATTCACCGCAAGCTCATTCTTGCAGTGCCCGCATTAGTTGTGTGCAAACAGAAGAAACAGTGTGTTTGGTGAACTGTAGGATGCAGACGATCTGGAAGGTGCATGGGTAGATGGCTCCCCCAAGGTTATGCAGCAGTGTGAGACGGGGCTAGAAATCAGCTTTCCTGACCCTCGTCAGTGACTTTTAAAGACTCAGCAGCCGCCTTCCTGCCGTGCACGGACTGGGCCCTACCCCTAGGTGCTGTGAGGGTATGACTTGGCTTGGGACCATTTAAACAAGCTATTTTAAACCATCTCCTTCTAGGACCGTGGTTCCCTAACTTGGGTGTATGTCAGGATCGCCTGAAAGCCAATAAAAAACGGGCCCAAACATAGTGAAGTACATTGGGACCAGGATCTTTGTAATTTTACCAAGTGTGCCTGCCGAGTGATCCTAATACAGTTTGGTGGAGGTGTGCCATGGTGTCGATTTGGACTCATAGTGACCCTGTATAGAGTTTCCGAGACTGTAAATGTTTACGAGAGCAGAAAGCTTCATCTTTCTCCTGCCGGGCACCTGGTAGACTCTTGACTTTGCGGTTAGCAGCCAAGGCGTGCTCCCGGGGTGGCGCTGCGGGTGGACCGCAAGGTCGGTTTGAACTGCAAGGTCGGCGGTTCACGCTCACCGGCTGCTCGGAAACTCTGTATAGGATCGCTATGGGTCGGAACCGCGCTGACGGCACTTAACAACAACACCAGGGCTCCTTAATGCATTTCGAAAACCCAGGAAATACAGGCCTGGCCTCTTAAGTACTGCACCCAAAAGGGAGGTGACTATTGAAAGTTGTTCCAAATTTCTTTAACTCCAGCCCTTCGATTCAGTGCCATTTTTATATGATTAAATAGTAAGTGCACTGACCATCCCTACTTGCCAAGAACTGTGCTAGGCACTGCAGAGATGTTGAGATGGGTCAGAAGTGAATAAATTCGGGACAGGTTGCAGAGGGGGACAGATGGAGGAGGAGTGATTGCATTTTGATGGAAACTTTGTGTATTTGACATATGTATTAGTAAGTTAAATTGAGTTAAAGCATTAGAAACAGCAGTGAACAAGGTGTCCTGCCCTCATGGAATTTACTCTGTTGTACTTCCTGTCTGTCAGCTCATTACAAAGCATCTTAGATAGTGATAAGATGCCCAGGATGAGAAGCGGGGGAAGGGGTTGGGAGGAGAGTTGCCATTTTAGGTCAGTTAGGGGAGGCCTCTGGTAGTGTACTGGTTATGAATTGGGCTGCTAATATCAGGGTCAGCAGTTCGAAACTGTCAGCTGTTCCACGGGAGAAAGATGAGTCTTTCTGCTCCCGTAAAGATTTACAGCCTCGGAAACCCTGGATAGGGTCGCTATGAGTTGTAACCGACTCCATGGCCCATAACTACCACCACCACAGGGGAGGCCTGGCCAAGAACATGATGTTTGAGTAAACCCCAGAGGGAACAAAGGTCACATCATATAGAAAAAGTGTTCCAGAGCCCAGGACAGCAACTGTGAGAACCTGAAGGAGGGAGAGCCTGGAGTGTTGGGAACAGTGAGGAGGTCATTATGGCTCCAGACAGCATAGTAGGGGGAACTAGGGGTGGGAACTTTTTTCCTGCAAAAATTTATAATATCATTTGCAGGCCATACAAAATTATCAATTTTAAAATCCTGGTGTGGCACTGTGAGTTAATGAGCTGGACTGCAAGATTGGTTTGAACTGCAAAGTTGGCAGTTCACGCTCACCATTCGCTCCTTGGAAACTCAACAGCACATAACAACAGTGTGATGAGCACTCAACCATAAGATTGAAAACCCTAACCAGGTCACAGTCAGAACCGATTCAGTGTGAGGGCTGGAACTGCGCTTGCCTTGGCAGGGCCAGACCATGTGATTCGTGGAGTAAACAGTAGGAGTGGGCCTTGTAAGGACTTTGACTGTTTCTTGGAGATGGGAAACCATTGGAAGCTGTTTTGAGCAGAGGAATGACTTAATCTGATCCTTGTTTTAACAAAACTGGAGATGGGGTGGAAGACAGGTTAAGAGTGTTGGTTGTGATAATCTATCTAGGTGACACCTGTGGTGGGGGATTTTGAAGACCAGAGTCAGATTTGCTGATGGATGATTGGGTGAGAGAAAGTGGAGTCTTGGATGGCACTGAGTAATTAGACCGTGGGCTTGCCATTTGCTGAGCTGGGAAAGATTGTTTGAATAGAGCACATTTGGAAGGGATGTTGGATTGATTTTAGATTTGATAAGTTTCAAGCATTTCTTAAACATACAAGTGGAGATGTTGAGAAAGCTGAATAATTCATTGGTCTCCAGACTTACTCCTTTTTTTTTAACCAGTTACTAAGCAGAGTGCTGCTGGCAGAACGCCCCAACTCAAAAAGGTCAGCAAGTTTGGAAGCAGCTCTTTTTCAGAGACATCATGAGCTAACCTCAACAACTCAGCAACCTGTAGTACCCAAGATTTTTCTCTCATTGCAAAGCATTGTTTAAGATTCCACTACTGAAGGATCATGTTTCTATACAGGTTAACTACATTGATGCCAGCATGTAATCTACAAACAGTAACATCAGCTGAAAGCAGAGCAGTGAGTGAGGGGCATCACCCCTCCACCCTCCTCCCCCAACCGCGTTATGTTCATCTTGTGAACCATACAGAGCTGAGTCATATTAGGGCTGTTTTAGAATTTTAAATACAGCACAAACTTTAACGTCTTCATCCTGTATCCAGTGGGATTGCTGTGAGCTCTCCACTGTGGAACTAGTACCCTGGTTGGTTGGCCTTGGAGGCTAGACTGAGTAATGGGGCATTAAGGAGCTTCAGAGGATTTTTGAGCAAACCAGTGAAATGACTGGCTTTGGTTTTTAGAAAGAATGATTTGGAAGTAGGGCCACTTTAGGGCCTGGAATGACTGTGGGACTAGGGGCAGGTTGGAACACCATGGAGGTGCCACGTCCATCGTGGCCTAAGTGGATGTCTAGAGGAAGGGGAAAGCCAAAGATGGCTCTTAGAGGTCTGAGTTTGGGAGAACATGTGTGCTGTTAAGCACAGGGTGGGGAAGGCAGAGAGAATGGGTATACACAGCTGGATTTGTGAGGCCAGCAGTATGTGTAGCAGAACTGAAAGTGGAATTTGGGACCATAATCAGCGCTCGTGGAAGCAGCATTTCAGAAATTAAACATACTGCATGAGGCAAATCTGCAAAAGACCTTTTTAAAGTGTTGAAGAGCTAAGATGTCACTCTGGGGACTAAGATGCCATGGTATTTTCTATCACCTCCTAAGCATGTGAATAAGGAAGATGATAAAAGAATGGTTGGAAGTACCATTTACTGCCAGAAGAACAAATCTGTCTTGAAAGAAGGACAGCTAGCTTGCTTCTTAGAAATGAGGATGGTGCAACTTCATCTCTCGTACTTTGGACATGTTGTCAGGAGGGACCAGTCCCTGGAGAAGGCCATCATGCTTGGAAAAGTTGAGGGTCAGCGAATAAGAGGAAACTCCGGATAAGATGGATTGACATAGTGCAGCAAACACAGTGGGCTCAAACATAACTAACACTTGGTGAGGATAGCACAGGACTAGGCAGTGTTTCATTTTGTTACTCAGAGGGTCGCTCTGAGTCGGAACCGACTCGACCACACAGAACATCACAAGGATTAGAGACTAGCTGTGGGAATGGCTTGCCTAGAGGTGGGTGAGACCACCAGAACGTCAAGACGTGAATTGCTTGAATTAGTTTTTCTGGCAAATCAAGGGTCTTCCTTTAAAACACCAACTCACTGACTACTTGAATTCAAGTATTAGTTGCCGTGTATAAAGGTAAGTCAGAAGTTTTGCTGCTTGGGTTCCAGTACACACATGCATGAGTTTATCCCAAAGGACATATGTGTAAACTAATGTCACTGCCATTAATGGATGGTTGTCGACAGGTTCTCTCAGAAATACACTTGGTCTTAATCGGGTTAGGTTGCCTTCAAAAATAGTAATGATACTGTGCCGTGGGGATAAAAAGATTTGAGGTCCGAGCTAATATCAGATTTTCAGCAAAACTCAAGTGGACATCTTCCCAAATCATTGCAACTTTCCAACAAGTTTATAAAGATGCTTCCCCACATAAAACAACAGTTTTCAGATGGATCAAGCATTTTAAGGAAGGTTGGTAAGCCTCAAAGACAAGCCAAGAGAGGGAAGACTGTCCACCTCGACAGTGGAAGCATGGACTATGGACAAAGTCCTGAAGCGAGTGAACGAAGACTGTAGAGTTAGCATCCATGTGATCGCTGCTGAACTTGGGCTCCCACATGGCTCAGTGTTTTCGATTTTAAGTGAATATCTTGGCCTCGGCAAACTTTCGGCTCAATGGATGTCAGTAAAGTTAGATGAAGATCAGAGCTGTTCTTTCCGTTGGTCTTTCAAGCAAGATCGAAGTTAATGAAGACGGTTTTATGGGAAAAAGCATAACTGGGGATCTCTTGGATTTACCAGTCTGATCCAGTGATCCAGAGAGCAAGATATGACCCAACCAGTGGCTCCCAAGGGGATCTGCTGGCTCTGTTAGATTCCAGGCAGAGAGGTCAGCTCAGAAGATTATGGTGACTGTTTGGGATCCCAAAGGGATAATCGTGATATAGATTCTCTTGAAGGACCCAGGACGATTGGAAGAAGTTTTAAGAAAACCGAAATTCCATTGGTGGAAAAAGGCCAGGAAAGTTGTACCAAAGAATTTTTTCCCCATCATGAAAATGCACCTGCTCATTTTTCAGGAGTAACAAAGGCTGTCTATCCTACAAGAATTTTATTGGAAAGCCCTACCTCTGTCGAGGACCGGCCTCGACATAGGTGTTTGGTTCATGAGGTGGAGATATCTGGCGCCGGTAGAAATATAGAAAGACACACAAGGACACAAGGAGAGAGACAAAGAGACACCCCGAAACCAGAGTGGATGCAGGACTGGCATCAGGCAGATCCTGCATTGCAAACATCTCAGCCATGAGGGCCGTAAGATCCTGCATAGTAAACATCTTGGCTAAGCAAGCAGTATGGTTGCAATGCTGGACCGAGCCCCCTGCATGCCGTAATGCACGCCTTGCCAGCCGTAATGCACACTGGATTCGTCCTGCGCCTCCGTTTTATTTAGGGGAGGAACTATACACAAAGCTGGGCAGGAGGACTAAGACAAGGTACAGCTAACATACGTAATTTTCCAGACATTCATACTGCTTTACATCGTACTTCCGCAGGTTCAATCTCACTAACGCAACTTGGTTTCTCAAGCTTAATTAACATACCTTTTAGCACCTAGCCTCAAATGGGGGAAGGAAAAGGAGGATTGGGAAGAGCCCAGGTTCTTCAGGAAAAGAGACGCCTAGGTGAATAGGGCTGCACCTGGAAACACTTTAGGGAGGGTGGGTGTCCTTTTGACCTTAGAACAAAGAATTGGGAAGCCACCCAATTTACTTTGACTGAATTCTTTGAGGGAAGAACTTTGCCTTTTTGGAATTTTACAGTCTCGGCTTTTAGGAAAATATTACATTTATCTGTGGATATCAGGGTTTCATGTATGGAATTAATAATAAACGTAACTGAACAATAAGATGAGAGACAGTTTGCTATGTCTGCTAGGTGGCTAGAGTCTGTTCCTCAGAGCCTGCGGCCTGTACGGTCTGCAACACTTGGGCCCACAGGGCCTCGAACTCCTGACCGGGTCTGAACGGTCTGCAACAGACCTCATCCACTTACAGCCCTGATCTTGTCCCTTCAGACATCTTCTTGTTCCCTAAACTCCAAGAACATTTAAAAGTTACATAATTTCAGTCCCTTAGGGATGCCAAAAATGCCATTTTGATATGGTGGAAATCAAAAGTGTAGATTTCTTCCAGGAAAGGTTAGAGGGATGGAAACACTGCCTGTAGAAGTGTATAGACCTCAATGGAGGATTTGTCAATAAACAGTTCAATAGATGCTTCCACGGTTTTTGTAGCAATATTTTATTTACTCTCATACTTGGGTGCGTGAGGGGTGTTTTTTTTGTTTTTGTTTTTTGTTTTTTTAATTACAAATCCAGTATTCCTGTTATCAGTTACAGTAGAATATAATGCATTGATCAACAGTCATGGAAGCAGCAGTCAAGAAATCAAACAACGTATTTGTATTAAGGCAGATCTGCTGCACAGGACCTCTTTAAAGTGTTCCTGAGCAAAGATGTCAGTTTGAGGACTAAGTATTTTCCAAAGCCTCATGTTCATGTGAAAGTTGCACAGTGAATAAGGAAGACCATAGAAGAATTGATGCATTTGAGTTCTGGTGTTGGAAGAGAATATTAAAAGTACCATGGACTGCCAGAAGAACAAACAGATCTGTGTTGGAAGAAGTACAGCCAGAATGTTCTTTAGAAGTCAGGATGCTGAGACTTTGTCTCTCATACTACGGACATGTTATCAGGAGGGACCAGTCCCTGGAGAGGGACATCATGCTTGGTAAAGTGGAGGGTCAGTGTAAAACAGGGAGACCCCACCCCCACCCCCCAACGAGCTGGTACAGTGCACAGTGGCAGCAGCAGTGGGCTCAAGTGTAACAATAGTCAGGATGACACAGGACCCAGAGTGTCCCTAGGAAGGAGTCAGAATGACTGGACAGCTGACAACAGCTGCAGCGCTTGCTGTCTTCATGAGTTTGGGCAAAAAACTGCTTCCGTTTCTCATCAGTAAAATGGATCTATCATGGGAAAATTCTATTCCATTTCCCCACAAACTGTGGATGCTCTCTGGTATTAGTAGAATTATTGGGAGAATTAAATGAGGAAAGGCCTAGCTCAGGACCAGGCACTGCAGACACCAGTACAGGAGGTCACCGGGTGCTTGCTTCTCAGAGCCAAGGTGTCCCAGCCGCTCATCGGAAAGGGCACTGAGGCGCCATCACTGAAGTCAAGAAAAGCAGGGCGGCGGGGGCAGCACATCCCAGCTGGTCATCACCTTCTCACCCCTTGAATGGTGCTATAGCGCTTTCCCCTCGTCTTCTTGATCATTCTCTGATCCCTTGTTATCACAATGTTGCTGTGATCTCAGACCCAAGCCTTTCTCCCGGACTCTGGGTGTCGCACTGTAAGATAAGCACTGGACTGCCGAATGCAAGGTCAGTAGTTCCACCCCACCAGCCGCTCCTCAGAAACCCTACACAGGGTCGCTGTGAGTCGGAAACCACTCACCAGCACTTAATAACACCACATAGCCTCGAGAACACACCAACATGTCCGCACAGAAATGTGTACACTGTTGTTCATTGCGTCAATCATAATCTCCAGAAGGTGGAAACCCCCCGAATGGCCATCAGCTGATGAATGGATAAACAGGAAGCTGGCATGCTGTTAAGTGCCCTCAGATCGGGTCTGACTCATAGTGACCCCGTATAGGGTTTCCAAGGAGCAAATGGTGGGTTTGAACCACTGGTCTTGTAGTTCAGACTGACCTTACTTATCCTGCAGTGCCACGCCAGAACTCCTACAATGGCATACCGCATGCAAGTAAAATTTACAAAAGGAATTAAGTCCTGATATATGCTACAACATACATGAACTGTGGAGATGTAATGCTCAGTGAAAAGAACCAGACACAGAATGCACGGATTGTGAGATTCTGTTTATATGAAATGACCAGAACCGGCCATTCTGTTGAGAGAAATTGTAGCTTTGTGCTTGCCACAGTGAGTCCTGTGGGCATGGGTTTCCTTTTGGGATGATGAAAATGTTCTAGAAGTGGGGTGACGATGGTTGTGCATCTCTGAATACTAAAAACTATTGAGTTCATTTCCAATGAGTGAGCCGTATGATGTGGGTTATATCTCAGTAAGCAAAGAGAATGAGGATGAGGAGTAGGCTTGGGTAGTGACCAGTTGTAAGGTACACTTAGCTGTTGAAGGTCAAGTCTTCGGACTGCATTTGTGCACGTTCTCTGGTTTAGCCTTTGAGAAGTTAATGGAGCCATCTAGATTCTTGGACCCCCACTCCAGAGGTCCGGCGACTTCATTCATCTTGCACCAGCTGCTCCTTGTTCTTCCTGCTTAGCTGGGGGCAGAACAGTGACTCTGGTATCAGAATCACCTGGGCAACTTGGTAACCGTGTGAAGACCCAGGTCCTTTCCTACTTCAAGGAGTCTGGCCTTAGCCTACCATGAGATTCTAATACCAGCGTTTGAGAACTGGTATAGGATATAGAATCTAGACACCTACATATCTGTCTCCCCTGGTAGGACATGGAATTTCCACATGACCCAACAATTGGTAGGGTTGAATCCACAGAGCCTTTCAAAATGTCCATTTCCCGCCTCCAGCTCTGTTGTTCCTAATCCTACCTCAGGCTCCAGCTCCTTGCAGTCTTTTCCTGGCTCCTGGTTTTCCCAGACAGGTACTTCTAATGCTCCTCTTCCCTTGGTTGGCTCTCTTGTCCCTTCCACAGCCAGTTGGGGTCTTCCTCATTCCTGCGGCCCCAGTTAATTGGCTGTCCTGGGAATGTTTGCTTGTAGCTTTTTAAACTGCAGGTTGAAGGTGAGGCTCCTGTTGCCTGTCCAGCTGCCTGGTGGAGGACAACTTCTTTCCCTTTCAGAGGGTGTTGGAGTGTGGCCCTAACGATCACAGAATCTAAGACAAGACATGTTTCCCTGCTTTCCTGAGGCAGACACCTGAGCTTTTTGAATGAAACTGGACCTCTGTCTGCGCTGGTGGAAAGAAAACGAGCGCATCTTCTTCAGGCCCACTGTGCAGTGCGGTATTGTGCACAAGACCAGGAGATATCTCCTGGTACTGACTCTAAGCATCCTTTTTCTTACCTTCTCTTAGAACAATGCTAAAGTAGCTGTGCTGGGGGCTTCTGGAGGAATTGGGCAGCCCCTTTCACTTCTCCTGAAGAACAGCCCCTTGGTGAGTCGCCTGACCCTCTACGATATTGCCCACACCCCTGGAGTAGCTGCTGATCTGAGCCACATCGAGACAAGAGCAAATGTGAAAGGTACTGAGTGTGTGGGGCCTCTCGAGCCTTCATCTCTCCTGGAAAAGTCTTAGGTGAAATGAGAGGTTTACCAATATGAGCTTTCCGTATTCATTTTAGAATTGAATTTCACAAATCATTACACCTCTTTAGATTTGGGCCAATGAAATTTAGTTTCATTGTATTGGTTGTCTGATCTTCCAATGACTCTATTTGTTCTAATTTTAAAAGTAGTGTGAGCATAGGGTGGGGACCTATTGAGAACCTTCTGCAAGGATTTGGAGAGTTAGACATGTTGTTTCAGGGCATACTGCGGGCTGTCTTCCCTCCCAGTGGACCAACCCTCTACCCAGGGTTCTTAGGGGGATTGTCCCTTCCAGAGCACAGCCGTATCTGCTGTTAAGTGTTCTAGAAATCATTCATCGTTGGTTTCCCTGCATATTTTCCCTTCACATATGACCAGCCGCATTTTCCAAGCATTGCTGTAATTTACTGCGTGCTGTTAACTATACCCATACTGTCAACCACTGGCTGTTTTCTGTTGACCTAAGATAAAAGCCATGTTGCAGTCCCCATCTTGTTTCTTAGGGCCAAGGCCTAGAGGGAGAATCAGTAGATGAGCGCTTTACAGCTCTTCCTGGGAATACTAAAATCTCATTCCCGTCAGCCACACACGAGAAAGTTCTGTTTGCCAGGGGACACATTTTGTGTTTGCTGATTAGTTAAGACTCAGGTGATGCCGAGTCATGTTTATACTCTGTCGGCTTCTGTAGTTCTCGGGTTTTGCTCACTGTCTTTGGAGCTTTGAGAATGCATCTCTGAAAGCCACAATCAAAGCAGATGTTAGACATTAGAGCAAATGTCCCTGAAATCTTGGGAGAGAGGACTGTTTTTCCTAAGCTGCTAGGAGTAAACAGGACAGACTGATTTAATGGATTGTTGGTCGGCACAGGGCATTTTCCCCAGTATACCTTCTTAACTGGATGTGGCAGATTGAGCTCTCGTTAGAAGTGGAATAAACAGCTCCTCTAGCTGTGGCACTGCGGAATCGGACCGCTAACAGCAAGCTCGGTAGTTCAAGCCCACCAGCCATTCTTCAGAAACCCTATACAGGGTAGCTATGAGTCAGAACCCACACCATGGCACTTAACACCAACTGGAGGTTGAGGATGACTGACAGGTAGGATAAAGATGAGCACAAGACCCGGCCTGCCTTTGTGGAGACGGACTCTAGTCCGGGCCTTACTAAGTCATTCCGAAGCGGGAGCCTCCGCAAGGAGAAGTGAAAGGGACCCATACCTGCCACGTGGAATTGTCAGGCTCCCAGGGCCATAGCTGTCAACACAGGCAGTCTGTTTGCAGGTGGGGCCTCTAGCCTTTCTTGAGGCTTTCGGTTGGCAGTGAGCCTGGGTAGGGGCAGTCCTTGTCCATGTGGCCGCTCTGGCTCAGGAACGGCAGACTCGCTCTGATGGGGTGCTTTTTCCTAGGCTACCTCGGACCTGACCAGCTGCCAGACTGCCTGAAAGGCTGTGATGTGGTGGTTATTCCAGCAGGAGTCCCAAGAAAACCAGGTATGTGTTTTTGTCTAACATCTTACAAGTCATGTGAGAGAAGCAGAAAAGTGTCCCAAGGCTCCTGTTGTCCGTGGGGTTAAAAACCAACTCTCTTGATAGGGCAGCCGTTTAAAGCCCCGCACATATCGCTGTATTTCTCCCTGCCAGGGCTCACCATCCCCAGACACTTTCAGGGTGGTGTTCCTGGGCACACTAGCAGGGAACCCCCTTCCCTCCACCCTTCTTCTTGGGAGTCATTACTCATCCTTGATGATCCATCTCCAATGTCGCTTTCTCTGATTGCCCTCCACATTCTGCACCCCCATAAACCTCTGGCTTGGTATTTGCTACCCTGGATGGATTCCCTACAACCGAGATTTCCCTGACCACAGGCTTTATCTTGCTCATGTTTGAATTTCCTGTAACAACTAACACATGTTTGGAAATCCACGGCACGCTTTGTGAACCTCTCCAATTGGACTATTTCCAGGCATGACGCGGGACGATCTGTTCAACACCAATGCCACCATCGTGGCCACCCTGGCTGCTGCCTGTGCCCAGCATTGTCCTGAAGCCATGGTGTGCGTCATTGCAAATCCAGTAAGTGCTACTGGCCTGGGCGCTGAGAGCTTGCTAGAATGCTGCTAGTGAGAGTAATTGCATTACTATGCGGAACTTGGACAGACTAGCAAGTGGGCTTTACACGGCAGAGTGGTGGCTTCTGGCCCAGACTTAGTGGCTGGGGTTTAACCAAGTTCTCTTACCTGTGACTGTGTGCCTCTGGGCAGATTCCCGAGGTTCATTGTGGGGGTCTGATGGCCCCTCGTTCTCCATCATTCCTTTTCCCCTCACGCCTCCACACCTTGTGTCATGCACACACAGCAGTCCCTCTGGCTCCTCCCCCCATGAGAAGGGCCAATGGCAGAGCTGTTGACTGAGGGCGTAGAGGCCTGAGAAGAGGCTTCTGCCATGGGAGTGGCTGGCGGGATGTCCACTGCTGTGTCTGCGCTTGGGGAGCTAACTGACTAGGGCCTAAGAGAAATTTAGCTTTTTGTTCGTATTCTTCACATGTTCCAAGGACCGGATGTTTCAGTCTTCAGCACAGGAGTTCCTGGGTGGTGCCGAGTGCTGGGCTCATGGCTCAGACACCCTGCCAATCTGCTGCCACAGTCTCAGAAACCTTAGGGAGCCGCTCTGCACTCTGCCCTGCACACTAGGGTCACCATGACTTGACAACAAAGGGCAGCTGTCCTCCCAACAATCTCCTGTGGCAGTTGTCAGTATCCCTCATTTTGCAGATAGAAAACCCCACTCTAAGGGGTTCCAGCACCTCACTGTCTGCAATCAGGAGCGGTCACTAGCACAGAGCAGGAGGTGCCCAGTGGTGCCAGGCTCCCGCCTTCCAGTCTGTGACTGGTGTACCCTGTGCAGACAGGAGGGCACCAGGGGGTGAGGACCTGCCGATAAGCTGGGTTACGGGGTGACTTGATTTGGCAGCATAGGCCTTGCTGCCTGACAGGAAGGTTTTGCCTCTCGTCACCTGTCCCTGCTCACAGAACACAGGGCACATGGAACTGTCTCTTGCCTTGACTAGGTTAACTCCACCATCCCGATCACAGCGGAGGTCTTCAAGAAGCACGGCGTGTACAACCCCAACAAAATCTTTGGTGTGACGACCCTGGACATCGTCAGGGCCAATACTTTTGTGGCAGAGTTGAAGGTATGTTCACTTCTGTGAACGTCTCTGTGTCCATTCACAGGCGTGGGAGACTCTCGGGCATTTCCCGGTGACTTGTAACTTGATGGTTGAAATGTTTTTCCAGCTGGCCCCTGTTTCCTTGGGGAATCCATATAACAGGCCCATGCGGGGTTCACCTCTGGCCGGGGTCTTGTCCTTGTCCCTGGGAGCGTAGTGATTTAAGCTCTAGGTCTGCATGGTTCATTCCCTGTGTTTCCCAGTGGCTGGACTTGGACTGTGCGCCCCCCCCCCCCCAAGCTGTCCCCTTTTTCATTACTCCTGACCACTGGTACTGGCAGCATCCGCCTGCCAGTTAATAGACAAGGAGGATGTCATCGGCAAGCATGAAGAGTTTCAGAAATCCTACATCAGAAGTAGCACCCCTGGTCTGTAGCAACGTGGCTAGATGGGTCTGGCCCTGCCAGTTGTCTGGTTTCCTCTGGGTTGCTAGACGGCATTGGCACCAGAGCCAGGTCTAGAATCCTCTATGCCTCCATCACCTGCTTTCTGATCTTTGATGGCTCCAGTAGGAATCACTTCCTCTTGGGCTTCGGGCCATTTTGCCCTGATGTGGGGCCTCTCAAAAGACATAGTGCTCAGGGCACACCCGGGCCTTCATTGTGCCTGCTGCGGCCCCACATTAGCACCTACTGCAGCAGACCTGAGGGCCTGTTAGCCGGGTTCTGTTCTAGGCCAGGGAGTAACAAAGATTTGTAAGACGCAGACCTTAGACCACGTCATTCAGTACTCCGGGTCTGTGCCGAGGGACCTGGAGATGAGGCCTCTGTGCCGAGTAATGGTCTTGGATCTAGAAAGGCGTTAACCGAGGAGGTCACATTGAAACTGCGTGTGCAGGTGCACCAGGCTGAGAGGGCAGGAGTTCTGGCCTCTGAGGCTTATCCCAGTGTCCTACACAAGCTCATTTCCTTAGAGCCAAGAACACACCATAGTCCTGGTCCTGTGTTGTCACTAGCAACATATGGCTGCGATGTAGCCGCTGGAAAATGATAGCGCTTTCTTGTTTGATGTGAGTGTAAGGGAGATCCCCAGGGCTTGGCTGTCTATAAGTGAACTTACTATCAACTCAGGATACTCAACATTTGGAAAGTTCCCTAAACTTCCTGTGGCTGGTTCTCCCCTCAGCCTCTGATCATCTCTTGTCGGCCCCTAGAAGCTTCTCCCTGGCCTCTCAACCACCTTTCCTTCCAGTGGGCTGACTGAAGTTTCCTCATTTGTAGTTTAAGACCTGCGGGTGCTGTGCTGCTGTTTGATACCCTCGGGCCTTTGTCTGGGAGCTCTCCCCTTAGCTAATTCTTCCTGTTCTTTCCAGATGCAGCTAAGATTTGGTCCCCATTGCTTCCATAGTCACCCCTTGTGCAGCTGGCTTGGCATTTAGCACGTTCCATTGAGCATTGGTTTGTGTCGGTCTTTCATGTTAGACATGACTCGGCAGAAGGCTGTCTGTTTGTCCTGGTGCCCACAGGGTGCCTTGGTGTGTAAGTACTGTCAAAGTCAGCCGGCTGGACAGTTGTTGATGCTGAGCTCTGTGTTCCGAGCACTCAGTGGTCAGGTTGTGTGCCTGTTGTGAGCCTGGCTCACCTTTACTAGGCAAGACTTGGTTTCTTACCTCAGGACTGGGCTCTTCGGCAGCCGTGGCCCTCTGGGGAGCCGTTCACCTCCTTGCCGCAAGTCCTACCTGGTGCTTTTTTTGTTGATTTTAAGAAACACTGGGTTCACAGCTTCTTGGCACAGGCACAAGTCCACCTCTTCTCTCAGTCCCTGCTCCCTGCTAGCTCAAGCCATGACGTTTGACCCTGTACAGCTCAGTTCTGTTCATTGTCCCCACCACTGATGTAGTTGCCAGACTGCTCACCCCCCGGGCTTCTTAGAAGAGCTTTTGTGCTCAGAAGCCTGAAAAAGGGAATTTGACCTGCTCTTCATGACTGTGGGAGACTGGCATCGGAGTGTGTGTGTGAGGAATGACATGGGCTGACTCTGAGGTTGTCAGGTGCTCAGGACCACAGCGGGGTGTGGGGGTTGGAGGAGGCAACACCGGAGGCACTCAGGCTGACACAAGACTCTTAGGTGTCGTGTAGATCTAAACAATGACAGGACTGGGCACTGCCTCTTTTCTGGTCGCTTTGCCTGTAGTTCTATGGATTTTTCTAGTATTGCTGCTTTAGGTAGATCTAACTTTGATATTCAGCGCTTGTTAAAATTAATCAAGTTCACACTTTGATGAGCAGGGTTTGGATCCAGCTCGAGTTAATGTTCCTGTCATTGGTGGCCATGCTGGGAAGACCATCATCCCCCTGATCTCTCAGGTATGTGTGTGCAGATTTCTTGGTTGTGGTTCAGACGTCAGCATTTTCAGAGTCCACTTCCTGTCTGGAGTAAATGTGGCCAGAAGGTACTCAATGGTCAGCTCCCAGACGCACAGTGGAAATTGCCGGTGGAGCATCACTGCTTCCTGGCTAGGCCAGAGCAGGCAGAAGCTGCAGTAGCGGGGTAGACAGCTCCACGGATCAAGGTTTATTAGGGGTTCCTGGATCCGGGGGAGGGGGACGGGCATGACTGCTGAGGATGCACTTAGTGTCTCTATGGTGATCATTTGACAGAGGCCTTGGTAACGGCAGCCGCACAGCATGATTATTGTAATTGATGATGTTCAGTTACACACATGGAGGGGCAGCCGTAAATGGACAAATGCTGTATTGTGTATATTTTTACAATAATTAAATCATCACCATCAGAGCCCTTGATATAACGCACTGAGAAAGACCAACATTTCTGCGATATTCTTGCCAAAATGAATGGCCTTACAAGGAAAGCATGCAAAAAATCTTAGGTCCAAATTGCTGGATATTCTATAAAACAAAGTGATCTGCACTTTTGAATAGTGCTGGAAAGACGAGGAAAGCAGGGGGAACTGGGAACTGTGACAGCTTGCGGGGAGACTGAGGAGGAAGGGCAGATGCGGGCGGAGAGCTGTAGGGGTCTGCGGCAGAGACCCAGATGGGCGACCCGGCGAGGCCTGACTGGAGTCTGCAGTTTAGTGACTTGTGGGCATCCACGTCCTTGCATTGGTTGTATTGTGTTTTGTACTATTTTCACTAAAAGTGAGTACAGGACTCAGGAAACCTCCCAAAACAAAGCTGATTTCCGTCCTGATTTTTCTGCAAAGAGCAAGTCTTGGTTTCGATGTAGTGGCAAGGTTAGCAACATCAGGACTCGAGGGTAGGGAGGGTGGAAACCTGCGGACCAGGTAGAATCTGCTCAGAACTTTCTCTCTCTGATTTCCAGTGTACCCCCAAAGTGGACTTTCCCCAGGACCAGCTGACTGCCCTGACTGGGCGCATCCAGGAGGCAGGCACCGAGGTGGTCAAGGCGAAAGCTGGTGCAGGTGACTTCTTAGAGGTGACTCAGGGGAGGTGGGTGACAGTGCTGGTGTCGAAGAACGAGACCCCGTCCTCAGGAGCTGCCTTGGCAAGGAGTGAGCTGTTTCCTGTGTCCCACCAGCATTCAGGGGATGAGAAGGCAGCAGAGTCGGCACGTCATAGAGTGGACGTGGTTCTTCAGGTTGTGGGGCTGGGTACTGATCCGAATTCTTGATTATTAAGCAGGAAACTTTGCGAGTACTCTGGATTCACAGTTGCCGTATGTACTAGTGTGACTGACCTGCCTGTGTCCTCGTAGGCTCCGCCACCTTGTCCATGGCCTACGCAGGGGCCCGGTTTGTCTTCTCCCTTGTGGATGCCATGAATGGAAAGCAGGGAGTCATTGAATGCTCCTTTGTGAAGTCACAGGAGACGGACTGCACCTACTTCTCCACACCCTTAGTGCTGGGGGTATGTATGCGGGGCTGCTGCACTGGACTGGAAGGAGCGACGGGGGGCGTCTTTGCTTAAGATTCGGGAGCTCTTCCCTGTCTGCTTGCTCCACATTCTGTTTTCCCTTGTGTAGTGCCTGGGTGCGCATCCCAGAATTCAGAAAACACACACTGAAAACTTAGGTCTGAGTCCTGTCCCCACTCCCGCCGCCCCCAATCACAGGATTCTCTTCACCAAGAGAAAGCACTCATTTCACGGACAACCTCGAAGCATAGGGTCCCCAACCTTCTCTAGGGTACTCGCGTTCATTCTTGTTCTGATCTGATGCCTCATGTAAGCAGGACCTAGTTAGCCAGCCATCCGGCTTTCCAGCTCAGACCTTTCTGGCTTCTTGCCCTTCATCCCACTGGCTCTGCTCTGTGGTATGTACTGCTGTTTCTGGTTGTCCTGTGGAAGTGGTGGCCTCTAGCCCACCAACTCAGCCTGACGGGCAGCTGTCCCGTATTGTTGACTCTTGCTGGACCCTCAGGGTCTCGCTCACACAGCTGGGCCAGGTCTCCATTCCTTCTGGTGAAATCTGGCTAGTGCCATGTCATTTTATGGCCAGAAAGAAGCAGGTTGGTGATTTGCTAAGCCACTCAAAGACCCTGCCCATAGACACCACTGTTCAAAGAGTCCGAAGACATGACGCCAGGCCTTGGGGGCTCATGGAGAGGCAGACTCTGAACCATGTCCTTCAGAACCAGTGTGGTGCCAGCACGCACCATGCATGTGTAATCATGGGACTCAAATGTGTGGGAATTGTGAGTCAGGCGGGCTGGGCCGAGGAGATGGCGTCTACTCTGCCATGTGACCCTGAGCAGCAGGGACAGTCCTCAGTGAGGCGGCCTCGCTGGGCTTCACAGGGAACAGGAGGTGGGCTGCCCGCCCTCACCCTCCGAGACTCAAACACAGTGTAATGGGAGTGAAAGAAGTGACAGGAGACCTATTTCCATTTAAATGACAGACATTTACCTACATAATTATGTTGGAATGGTTTGGGGGTTTTTCCCCCAATCTTTTACAAACTTGGGGACAAGGCTAGCTCCTGAAAACATGCCGTCTCAGGGAAATTGATGAGTCTGCTTGTTGAGTGCCTGAGGTGCTGAGTTCTGGGCTCAGTCCTCTACGTGGGTAAGTTTGTCTTCGTACCTCTCAGCACGCTGGTCATCTGTCATCAGTCTCAAAGGACGTTGTAAGAGCACGTGAAAAGTTCATGTGTTCCAAACTTTCATGGGAAAATGGAATTGAAGAGAATGGAAGCTATCCAAGAACTTTCTGAAGTTCCCTCACATGGTTTTACAACCTCCCTTGAAATTGTAAACAAATATGCTCTTTTAATAGATAAGAAAACGAACTTGAAATTTACATAATTTTTCTAAACTCACACACATCGGAAGTGGTAGGACCAGGATCCCAACTTAAAGCCTGAGCTCGTGGCCAGTGCAGCCCCCCTCTGCTGTCTAGAACCCTCAGCTGGAGAGAGTCCAGGCAGAGTCCCTAGCCGGCTTTCTGTACCAGATTTATTCACACCGATTTGTTGCTGCGCCTGCTTAGTGGGTTCAGTTTCTTTCCCTTGGGAGTGATGACAAAGTTCTGGAACTCCGTAGTATGAATGTACTAACCTGTTGGTGTTGGGTCCGTCCTGACTCAGTGACCCTCTAGGTGCCTCATCTTCCTCCTGCAGACAGACGGATGGGTGCCACCAGGGCTCTAGTGACAGCTGAGAGCCGCTGCAGTGCTTACAGGGGACTCTAATGTTACGTGTGTGCTGCCTTCTCTCTCCAGAAAAAGGGCCTGGAGAAGAACATGGGCATCGGCAAGGTCTCCTCCTTTGAAGAGAAGATGATCGCCGAGGCGATTCCCGAGCTGAAGGCCTCCATCAAGAAGGGCGAAGACTTTGTAAAGAACATGAAATGAGAAAGCAGTTGCAGTCCTCGGTTTCCTTAATTTATTAAGGCATCATGTCACTGTACAGCCAGTTTGGATACCTTTGTATTTGAATTTGCTTTGATGATGTTTCTTGCTGTAACATTATCATCATCCCTTCCAAACTGGCGGTTGCCCCATTGGTACATCAATAAAAGTGATCTTTGATTTACTTTTTCAAGGTCCTCTCTGGAAATCTTGTGCTTTTTTTCATTCCTCATTAGGTCTGTCCCATTTCCATTAAAAAACCAGAACAAGACATTATTTAAACAGTAGGCTGAAGCATAAGGATTTCTTCAATAGCTCCAAGAAAGTCTAAAACGTTTCTCTCTGAAACAGGGTGAATTACTCCAAGTTTACCAGCTCCTCTCCATCCCTCCTCTCTGGACCACACGTGGCCAACAACCAATGCCAGACTGCCAGTTTCTGTCCTGAACTGTTTTCTTGAGCTTTCCAGCTAAGCAAGCAACATGGACTTGGTCATTGGAGCCACCTTGGAATGTCGTTAGTCCTGTTAACCAAGGATGAATTTCATCCTATTAACCAAGCCCTTATGCTCAGGGTCTGCCAGTGCCTTAGGAAGAAGAGTTGTAAGGGAAGTCCAGAGGGAAGGCAGGGGACCAACATACCAGCCTCAAGGCAGTGCTATCCTTATAAAAAGATGGCTTTATGTTCCATCTATGACTTGAAGGGATTTTGTAATAGTAGCTAGACCTAGGATGGAAACAAGAAGAAAAAGATTTGATTCTCTAGGATTGGGGGGGTTTTCTCTATAAATTGTGTCTGCAAAGGTTGGCACTCAGCACCCTGCTCTGAGAATGGCCCATCTGGCAACAAGGAACCAACAACTGCTCACTGTAGGGCGAGAGGACAGGTCAGGTGGAGGGATGCTTAAAATGTATTTATTAAAAATGAAATAAAAAAAAAAATCTAAGAAGTAGCCAAAAAATGGGAAATTGATTGGTAATAGTGAGGGGGCATTCATTTCTGATAGTATTTATTCTCTTTAGTTTTGCACATGGAGTACATTAAGATGATGCTTCCTGTACCATTTTCTCACCTCTTCTAGTTGGTACTGCTTAATACACAACCTCCAAACTCAGTTACTTCTGGCAATAATCGTGAGGTTATACCTCAGATTGGGCTGCTCGTGCCTGGTGGAACAACAGCTCAGGCAAACCTGCCCAGACCATGGCTCAGTGCCTGGGGCATGGGGAGAGGTTGGGCAGCTGAGCTTTTAAAGCCTAAATATGAGCTCACTGTCGTCGACAAACTTGATGAACACATTTGTATGTTACATGTATCACGAGGAAATGCAGTGGCTCCACACGGTAAGCACTGGACTGTGAACCACAAGATTGGCAGTTCAAGTCCACCTGTTTGCACAGGAGAAAGATGAGGCTTTCTGCTTCTGCAATGATTTACAGCCTCAAAAACCCCATAACGGGGTCACTGAGTTGGAACCGTCTCAGCAGCACCTAACAGCACAGATATTGCATACAATACCCACAGAAAAGCTGCATTTTCAACACACTATACTACAGTATTTGCAAAAATCACAAGGTTCTTGTGCCTGCTGGAGCAGCTATGCAATTGCCCTTAACACTGGGCTCAATTATCTGAGATGGTGAGCATCCTCCACTGCAGACCTAGATCTGTGGTACGTAGCAAGCACTTCAGCTTTTCTTACAACATCACTCTGCTGCATGGGAGCTCTTCCAGCATCACTTGTACTGCGTGTGAGTCCCATAGTGTTAGTCAAGGTTTTTGGTATTACTGAGATCACTTTCTACTGCAATATGGAGTTTTTAAATACGGTGATTCTACAAGAAATACAGTTCAAATCTTTGTTGTTCAAGAGTCAACTATGTAAATATTTTCCTGTGTCACTTAATTTTAATCCTTAAGGTACAGCCCTGGTGTGGTACTGTAGGATCAGCACTGGACTGCTAGCCACAAGGCCAACAGTTCAAACCCACCAGCTGCTCCTTGGAAACCCTCATACAGAGTCGCTATGAGTCGGAATCTACTCGATGGCACTTAGCAACAACAATATAGTAATCAGTGTCTTTATAAATCAGCATTGAACATCTGTGAGTTAACATCTGAAATGAACATCAGCAAATTATTACAACGGTATATAGTACATTTAACTAATGATAAGATTTACAACAAAATACAAACAGATGGTCCTGAGTACGGCTCACAATAACTATATCGTTACCGATCTTGCAGTTCAAACTGCCCTTGCAGTCCAGTGGTAGTCCTACCGTGTGCCATACCAGGACTCCATGGTAACTTCAGTATGCAGTAGATCGGGCACGACCTGCATTTCCTCATGGCTAGTTCTGTATGCAAAGCACTGCCAGCTCTTGAGTCCTTGTGTGGCACTGCAGGATAATGCAATGGACTGGTTGGTTTGAAACCCAATGTGGGCGCTTCAAACTCCCCAGCCAGTCCTTCAAAATCCTATACTGGGTTACTATGAGGCGGAACTGACTCGATGACACTTAACAATAACACTTCTCAACAACTCGCTAGCTCTGTTTTCATGAGATCCTTGCAGTCACTCAGGCAGATTGGCCCTCACACAGATGAATAAAGTTAGGTCATGTCATGGCTTAAGGCAGCGACTGCTCAACTAGTGGGTCCCACCCAAAACCTCCTAAGGAGCTTGTTTAAGATGCAGGTTCCCAGCCCCACTCCTCAGAGATTCTGATCTAGCAGTCTAGTGAAGAATCTAGAATCCAAAAGAATAGCAGGTTCTTCCAGATTATGCTGAGGGGCCAAGGGTGGAAGCAGTGCAATCCAGAGCACAGGTGGATCAGATGCATACAAATCCACGAGGAAAATGCCGACAGCAATACAGCGGATCTCCACAAGAGGGGAGGTTACTCCTGGATCTCTGGGCAGAAGCAAGGCTCAGCAGGGGAGAAGAGGAGGAGCTGGCCCTGCAAGCTGACAGGGACAAAGATCCACTGCCAACTCACAGAGTAGAACCGCCCCATAGTGTCTCCAAAGCTGTCAATCTTTACAGAAGCAGACTGCTTCATCTTTCCCCCTTGGAGTGGCTGGTGGGTTCAATCCACCAACCTTTTAGTTAGCAGCCCAAGGTTAACTCACTGTGCCAACAGAGCTTCCCTGCAGCAGGAGACAGCTGGCTTAAGATGCGTTTTCAGAATGGCCAAGTTTTCAGTTTACAGCATAGGATCTACAAGGAGGGAAATGAGGCCAGTATGAGTATGGAAAACCAGGCTGAGGAGCCTGGGCGTTACTCTATGGATCATCAGAATGGCCTAGATGCTGAAGGTGTTGAGCAGTGGGGACATAGGCCTAGGACAGGGTTTCAACAGCTTTAACATGGGGCATCTTGGCACCAGGCAGATTTCAACTCAGGAGCCCCGGGTGGAGCCCTGCTCCCAGGTGATGCCCGTGTGCAGGTCTGCAGACCACCCTGGTACAGGAAAGATGAGGAGCAGGGGACAGCAGGAAGGAGGAACACGGAGGGAAAATGTCAGCCTCTCCTAACCCCACCCCTGCCACCCAGAGGGCCATCAGCCAACTGACAGGTCAGGTTAGACCAACCTTGTCCCTGCTTTCAAGCTCCAATTATCTACCTCTATCTATGCCATCCTCGCCTTCTGTCAGACCTCCGCACAAGGGCGCCCATCCCCTTTAGTGAGGTTCAAAACCCATCGAGTGAGTGTCTGGTGTGAATGGTCATAATGAGGAGGCTGAGGCCTTTGCTGGGGGAGCCAGGAAGTAGACTGCAGGAAGCTGTGGGGAACCTGCAATGAAGGTAATTAGATGGCAAAACAGTTGGTCCTGCAAAGAAGCTACCGCTAAGTCCTGGGTAGGCATGGCCAAGTCTGGTAATTATAAGGAAAGCAGAGTAGTGCGTCCTCCCTGCTAAGGCAGAGGGAATGAACAGTTTAACCTAGAATGACCCTGATCTCCAGTCAGAGGGAGTTGGCACTTGTCTTTGCAGTTCTCTGATATTGCCTGGAGAGGGAGCTAGAGGCTGGCGCTGAACAAAAGCTGCTTGGGGCTAGCTAAATCTGGAACCAAGGAGTAGGGATTAGCATTCTGGAGCCAAACCTGACTCCCATCCTGGAGACCATGCCTTCAGACAGGGAGGACAGAGATGGGAGTGAAGTGGTTTGGAAGCAGGGCCTGGATGCGCAGTCTCAGGGTAGGAATGGTGGGGATAGGACGCTGCCACCCTGGCCCCAGAGAAGCAAGCCTGTGCTTGATGAGTTGTCAGAGCAGCAGTGAGGACAGCTTCCTGTAACCAAGTCGCTTAGGTCCTGCTGTCTCCAGTGTCCCCCCATGTGCCGGGCAAGCGCAGGAAGCTCCTATGAACACCCAGGGAATTTCAGCTAATGCAAACCCAGATTGGACAGCAGTGCTGGGTGAATGGGAGGGAGAGCTCCGGGTGACCGTTCACAACAGCTCCTGGCTCTGGCATGGACACTGGGCTGGGCCTTCCAGAGGCAGGATACCCAAACCTGGCACCTCCAGGCACTTGCCTCTCTGACTTTCAGAGGCATGTTTTCAGGACACCACCCATTTCTAATCACTCTGGGTTTGAGGTGGTTGATGCTAAGTGGGCAATTCAGAGCGACTCTGTATAGGGTTTCCGAGGAGTAGCTGGTGTGTTTGAACCACTGACCTTTCAGTTCAAACTGACCTTTCAGTTCAAACTCTCGTTGTCCAGTGCATTATCCTACAGCGCCACACCAGGACTCCAATCCATACATTTCAGCCGCTGCCGACATCCTCCCTGCCTGGATCCTGGGCCCATGGGGTTCTCTGCTGGAGCAAGACACTCTTCCCCTGCTCCCCAGCAGCCAGAGCAGAGCAGCCTTCCTCCTCTTTATTTTCTTGTAGATGCTCCAATTTCCTCACCAAGTCTAATAGGATTGCCTGGGATGGGCCGACCAGGTGCTAGAAGGTTGAGCCGGGTGGGTTGATCTTGGCTGCTCTGCACCTGCCCAGCTGATCTGGTTGTTAAATGGTGAAACAACTGAACCAAGTAATAATAATAAACAGCTGCTTCCCCAGTCTGGAGCCTCCCCTAGACCTCCTCATGGTTAAAGGGGTAATGGCTGGTGGCATGGAGTCTCTGACACTATCTGGTCAATGTCCAAGTGGTTCTGCTGGTTAAATATTCTAACACTCCCATAGAACCA